ACAAAAGCTTGCAAGGAAGCGAGGTATCAAATTAATATGTTTTGTTCTAAAGGCATTAAGTTATTTAAATATATAATTTTAATTCCTGTTGCAACATAAAAATGAATATAATAGGAGCATTTGTTTAAAGCACAATTTCCTATCATATATTCTATTTTCTATTTAATGGACTTGTGGGCAGGAGAGAAGGACATCATAATAGGTTTTTACCAGAGGAGGTACTGGTACATATATAACAGCAGGAACTAGATTCAGACAATTGTTTTCTTCTCTTGAGGTGGAGAAGACCTTAAGGCAGACGTGTCAAACTTGCGCAACGTATCGGGACAGTTTTGTCATTGCCGGCAATGGGGTAGGCCCGGCTTCCACGGGCCGGCAGTTTGACACCCCTGCCTTAAGGGCTAGTTTTAATGTTTGAAGTGTGGTGGGGAGGGTTTATCATAATACCATTTTTACAAGAGATGTTTTACAAGCATTGTTTGAATTTCAGATATCTGCCAGATAATGTTAAGTTGAACCATGTCAAGAATATTCTAGCGTAAGTATCCTTTTGAGGGGTCCTTGGTGTTCTTTGAGCTTGTCTACCACTGATGATTACCTTTTTTGAGTAATGAAACATGTGCAAGAAAACAACCAAGCTCAGAAAGCACTAAGGAACCCTCATTTCAACCCTGAGCTACAAATATTCTCCTTTATTGATAAGTATCCTTCTGTTCTTGGAAATATAACACTTATCCTTTTCAGTTAGAGGAGAAATCAAGCCTCTTTTCTCTTATTCTCCCCTGGAAGATGCTCCCCTCCCATCTCCTTGTACATAGTCCAGATGTAATAATGTGTTTACCCTAACATGTCTTTTTGGTGATAGAGGCACATATGTTATCTTAAAAGCAAGCAAGCAAAAGGATGGATGCTGGGTGTTCTTTTATCTATCACTACAGTAATCACTATAAACCTTCCTCTTACTTTCCAGTAATATAAAGAACCAGAACAAATGCAGTAATAAACATGTTCTTAAACAGCTCAATTCTTCCATTAGCTAAAAGGTAAAACTCATAACATGAACACGTAGGTTATAGAATAAAACTTCTAACAGGCAAAAAACCATGTCCTTGCTGCATTTCAAATAAAAAAGACCTGAATAATTAACCACTTGGTCTCCATTAAGATATCCCGCACAAAATAGATGCACTCTGCCTTATTTCCAAGAAGCCCACCTTCATTTCTGAGGCTTACAGCTGCAACCTAAAACAGCCAGTTCTTTTTTCTTTTAGGAAGTTACCTGTAAGCTTTCTAGAAGTGTCTATATGTATAAAATCTTAAAGTGATGAGATAGAGAATTATGTTTTAATTTCTTCCAAATTCTTCTAGACATGGAATTTGTGTCCCCTGCTCTGCTCCTTGTCCATAGCATGCTAAGCCTGCCTAAACAATATAACCTAAGTTTCTTTTCCTAATCAGTCATCTGCAGCCTATACTACTTTTGGTTCTGAGAATGCACCATTCCCTATTTGATTATATTTAATTACTCATTCTTCTCATAAGGGGAAATTCTTTGGAATCTCCTTGATTAACCTTATTCCTTTTAATCTTGCTAAAGTATTTGGTGAAATCATAAATCTTGCTGACACTGAACTCTAGACATTGTATTTTATCAACAGATTAAAAATGTGAGGGCCAAGAATATTAGTTGGAAAACCCTATTTTCATGCCTTCGTTATAAAAACTATCCATATATTCTAATTCTTCATTTTTAGTTCTTTAATTATCATTCTTATACCCAAGGAAGATGACATTACAATACATGACCTTTGTCATTTGAAATTCTCAATTTCTTTTTGAACAAATCAATGGCAGAGTTCTTTTTAAACTCCATAGCACTTAATGGCAGTTGTCCAGTCCCTGGAGAGAACCAGATAAGGAAAGCCCATGTTTTCTCAATTATTGTGATCATCACACTGGAGAAAGTTGGCTTAAACTGTTTAATTTTCATGTTATCAAAGAATAGTTTCCCACAGTATTTTGTTTGTAGATTTAATTACTTGGGAAGTTCTATCATTAGTCTTCATGTGCTAACTTTTATCTTTGGGAAAGCTTTTATTCAAAAGACTAAGCATTAGGAAAGTTTGACTAAACTATAAAATTAACTAATTTAGTCTAAGTATCTTTGGACAAAAGATTCTCATAGAGTAGATTGCTAAATCTTTTTACTTGAAAGATTACAACATTGATTTACTTTACTACAGTACTAAAATACATTGTTTACCTGTGAATAATCTCATTGAAACATAGGTGATGTTGAGTTTCATCTATGCTAAATTCTAAGACTGATGTTCTTCTGATAATGTAAAATTCTGCCAAAACTATAGTCTGTTTTCATTTCTGATTGCAACTCATAAAATAAAAAGTTTAGACACGGTCTCAGCCAAATGGGGATTTAAAACTCTGGAGTAATTCAGCAATGTGCTCCAGATAAGAGGAAACTCTTCTAATTTGTAAAGAGGTTGGTCAGTGCACTTATTTCACATGCAAGTAAAGTTATGCTTAAAATCCTACAAACTAGACTCTAGCAGTATGAGGATCGAGAACTTCCAGAAGTATAGGCAGGATTTCGAAGAGGCAGAGGAGCTAGAGATCAAATTGCCAACATACGCTGGATCATGGAGAAAGCTAGGGAATTCCAGAAAAACATCTACTGCTGCTTCATTGACTATGCTAAAGCCTTTGATTGTGTGGATCACAACAAATTGTGGCAAGTTCTTAAAGAGATGGGAGTACCAGACCATCTTATTTGTCTCTTGAGAAACCTATATGCAGCTCAAGAAGCAACAGTGAGAACTGGCCACGGAACCACTGACACATGACTTTGCAACTAACAACAACATATCTATAACTAGATGTATTATGTTTACATTTATTTATTTGATTCATATTTTCCCTTTATCTTTTACAACTCAGGGCAATATAAATTTATATAATTATATCTTTGCAGCTATGAGGAGTAAAAATAAAGCAACTACCACTACAGACTAATATTAACAGCTTTGAAAAGTTTGCAGATTACAAGTAGGCCTAAATTGCATTATTAATCCAAATCATCAAATTATAGTATTTTTTCGTGCCAGTGTATTGGTTGATAGAAAGGATTCAACTACACCTTTCAGCAGTCTGTCCTCTGATTATCAGGTATCACATGCTTGGTCAATGTAGCTTATTAATAGAACCTGTTATTAAAGGAATAAGGAATGGCCTTGGCAGACAGGAGGATGAACTGCTGTCACGGTGATGATCAAATAAAGTAAGTTGGACTGAACCTGGGCCAAGAAAATAACTTGAGAAAACATCTCAGATAAGCTTCTCTCTAGTTCATAGGAAGATAAAGGGAGGGAGAGGGAAGCACATTCAGATTTGCACTATTCTGTTACTATAGTTGTTACAATAAAAGTACTTCTGACCTATATGGCATGGGTTTGGTCTGGTCTATCCTGCTGAGTTGACACATATACTTTGTTGCTTAGTGGGAGCACCTATATTTCATACGTTGAAAGTCGTTTGAAAAAATAAGATCTTTTCTTCTATTCTGGATCTGACTGAAGTCCCTGTAGCCCAGTGGTTCTCAACCTTTTTAATGCCATGACCCCCAACTGGTCATAAGTCGAGGACTAAACCGGTCGTAAGTCGAGGACTACCGAACCAGTCATAAGTCAAGGACTTTCCCTGCCCGAGAGCGCCACGCATGCCTGGTGCCGCCCCGTGCGCCGGCCGAGGCATAGCTGGCAAGTGGCAGAGACGGAGCAGGCCGACCACTGGCTGGGCCATCAGCTGCCCAGCCCAAGGGAGGTAAGGCACCCACCGGAAGAGGGGAAAAAATGGCGGACAGCCTTGCTTGGCGACCCCCGTGAAATGGTCGATCGACCCCAAATGGGGTCGTGACTCATAGGTTGAGAACCACTGTTCTAGCCAATGTTCTAGTCTCATAGTGGTCAATGAATTGCCAAGAGAAACTCACATGCAGGACACAAATGCGCAATATCATCCCGCTAAAGTTGGTCAGAACTGATATTACTGTTTAAACTCTCCCTTTTAAAAGCTATTCAACTTAGTAGACATCACTGAATCTTGTGGGTATTGGTTAAACAAGTAGTTATGGACTAGGTAAAAGAGTATCTCCTTTTCTTTTGAAACCAATTGTATAGTTTTTTTCTATATTCCTCAGTCTGGTATTTCTGGCTTCTGTTTTGTTTTGGGGAGACTGTCATAGCAAATGATGGCAAATATCTTTGACAGAGTCTCTGGCGAGACACTGATACAGTAGACAATATTGAACTAAGCAATTGAAAATGTCTAAAACAGTTTCCTATATTCTGACTTCTTGAGTCCAGTTGCATTGTACGGAAAACACAAAGATAAGAAGTTTAAGGCAGGAAACCTAATTTCTTCAGACAGATCTCCACACCATCCCCTCCAGACAACATTATAGTTGGCAGTAATTCCAGAAGCTCTTCGGAGGGGAATGTTTATGACAAAATTCTTTCAATATAGCAACAGTTTCAATAATAATCTTATATCTTTCCCCAATCTAAGGCCCTCTAATTGAGTTGGCTTTCAATTCCTGTAATCTGCCAGGTAGCAAAAGATGGAATTATGAAAGTTGAAAGCCCAACACATCTGGAGAAGGCTATCATATGGTATAAGAATTGGAAAAATGTTTTTTTTAGTAATCAAAACGTTTTTAGCCTACTATTCTTGATGAATCTTACATCCATAGTAGATTTGAAGGAATTTGGCATATGCTCTAAAATCTGAAGTATTGGAGCAGGAAATTTTCCAGTGACTGCCTTTCTTTCTTTCTTTCTTTCTTTCTTTCTTTCTTTCTTTCTTTCTTTCTTTCTTTCTTTCTTTCTTTCTTTCTTTCTTTCTTTTGCATCTGTAGCTCTCCCTTTAAAAGTCACACATAGTTTGGCATGTGTGGAAACTGACAGACTTTTTTTTCTTCTTCCTAGGGTGTCTCCTCTGCAGAAGTCAGAAATAGTAGACATGGTAAAGAAACATGTGAATGCCATCACTCTGGCCATTGGGGATGGTGCCAACGATGTTGGAATGATCCAGACGGCTCATGTTGGAGTGGGGATCAGTGGCAATGAAGGCATGCAGGCAACCAACTCTTCTGATTATGCAATAGCACAGGTTAGATGCCTACAAAGAAACAGCTGCCATATCCTGTTGAAAGGGTGTTGACTGCATAGACAGCATAAAAACTTCACTGCTGATCTAGAAGCCAAGCAAATGTCCTCACCCCCCCTTTCCTTTTAGGATGCTGACTTAATGAAGAGAACTTGTAAATACGTGCAATACCTTCCATTGTACTGAGCCAGGAGCCATTTCATCCTAAATGCTGCGGTTTCTTTTTATTCATCAATGTGTTTCCATCATATTTCCAGTAGTCTGGAAAATTACTCAGACATTGCAGCTGTCAAAATAATAGGTGTTCCTCCTCCTCCTCCTCCTCCTCCCCCCCTCTTACTTTTATTCTTGCAATAGACACTTGTTGATAACCTGTTCCTATTCTACAGTAGAGACTGCCACTCCATTTTATTTCAATGATCTAAGGAAATGCTATGAAAGAAGTTTAATATTCTTTAGCTTCCTACTTCTAGTCAGGAGTGATCAGTGATAGCTTTCAGAGGTGAGCAAGAATCACTGACTTTTTTCAGTTGTCCTGATTTTGAAATTCTTTGATGGCGTATAAGATATTCTGATGCAGCGGCACTTTTAACATGATATAGAAATACCTTAATGAGGATAACTATAATAACTATATATTCAAACATAACCATCATATCCATCATCCATGAGCTGTAGTGTTTAATATTCATTATTCACTGTAATGTTTGTTATTTAATATTAATTAATTACATCAGCCCTGGCAGTGCCATCCTTGCCTTCTGAAGCAAAACATATAGCCTTCTATTTTGAACAGTTAAGCAGCAGTGGTAGGTATTATCCAAGCCCCAATTCAGTCTCTATTAATACTTACTATAGTTTTGGAGTTTAGGGTTCCAACAAGCACAATGTGATAAGGGAAATATAGTTATATGGGATCCTTATCAATCCCTTGGCATTTATCCAGAGGTTATCCGTGAAGAGCCTCACCATCACCTTTTTTTAAATCTCTGGGATTGAAGGAATAGCTGTTAGAAGTCAATCAAGATCAGTTTATACTGTTGCAGTGTGTGGTCTCATAGGAACTGCCACCCTCATAATTTCTTTCTGTTAGCAGGGCCGGCTAAAACTGATGGAATGCATTTTTTTTTTAAAAAAAAAGCAAAACAAACAACCTTCCAGCCAGTGTCCAAACCCAACAACAGTGAGGTAAATAGGAATCCCTTTTTGGTCTATCCTTTTTCCTGATTGATGCATCATCATGAAGGGAATTTGGTTTTAAAACAAGAAATAAGATGCCTCAATATTAATTAGAGCAGCCTTCCCAGGATTTCAGCCAGAGTCCAGCTGTGAACATTGGGAACTATAGTCCTAACTGTTTTAACGGCACCAAACTGTGGAAAGTTGAATTAGAGTGATACTGAAATATTTCCAAGATAACTTTCAAAGGAGCACATTATTTCTTTCTTGAAGACTTATCCAGTAGTGTGAAGCAAATGTATTCATTGTGGAAGACGATGCTTGTTTTAGTGCCGGAGTTAGCCTTCTTTCTCAAGAAAAGCTAGGTCTTAAGCTTGGAGTTCTCAAGAAGCTGAAATTCTTCAGTATTGTTGGAATTTAGACATTAGGATTAACTTCCTCCTTTTTCCTTCTCCTCCAGAACAGATACATGTCTAATCAGACATTTTTGACAACATCTTGAAGCTCTTTTTCTATTATCCTATTCTCTGGTCTATCTCTACAGATACAAAGGCTCTTCAGAGTTACTGTCAATGTTATCATTCTCCTGTTCCATTCTCCTGTTCTTTGAGGAGATAGCAGGATTCTCATCTGATTTTGATGAGTCGTGACCTAGTCCTCCAATAAGACGACTATAGATTCCAACTCTGAATACTAATGTATTTAGGAATATTTATTTCTTTTAAACAAACAATATCTCATATACAGAGCTATTGTTATGATATGAAATATTAAAAGTTGTTATTATTATTAAGAAAGTTTAAAGTATATGATGCAGAGACAACCCCCTTCTGAACATATCTCTCATCTTCATTATAATGCAATCCAATGACTTTTTTTTCAGACTCCCAAAACCAAAGAGAGACATTTTTGAGGCAGTTCAGATCTTGAATGTAGATTTTTTATTGTTTTCAAAAGAAGGAATTAATTATGTTCAAAGATCACCTTTATTATTGAACTGCTGACAGAAATTCTAAATGAGTGAGTATCAATCTAGTTTTCTGAAGAAAACTTTGCTTTCTCCTGCTTCTCACATCCTGCATTTCACTGATGTAATAAGTGTTGGCAGTCTTTGGGATGCCTGAGGCAAACCCTGGCTGACCGCCACTTTGCGGTCTGACCAGATGTTGAATGATCCTGCAAGGTGACAAGCACCATTGTTTCTGATTCAGCATGAATCTCACTGGTCCCTTTCTAGAAACAGAACCACAAAAATCTGTATTTCTGTATGGAAATATGTGGGATGTATACCTATTTATATAGTATATAAAAATGGGACGCTGTTTTAATGGGATCATTTGTCTTCCTCTCAGAAAATGCATGCAGGGATTTCTTTAGAGTATATTCTTCTTTTTGGATCTTACTTTCTCTTAAGCTCTGCCAATATTTATTTTTTATCTTGCCTTTATTATTATTATTTATAAATAACTCTAGGTGGCGAACGTACCTAACACTCCTTTCTCCTGTTATTTTCTTCACAACAATAACTCTTGAGGTGGGTGAGGCTGAGAGAGTGAAAAAGCCAGCTGGATCTTCATGCCAGTGGTGGGACTAGAATCTCATGGTCTCTTGGTTGATGTTAAATTAGTTGGTATGTTATAATCCTTGGAAATTTTTTGGAGTGTTTTTGGTTCCAAAGTTTCCTTCTGAATGAGGCACAGTGCCTTGAGATATAGGAAATTAAAAGCTAGATTAGTATTGGGGAATCTGTATTCATATTCCTGCCCAGTATAAAGTCTGCTGAATTGTCTTAGCAAAATCATTATCACTAAATCTAATCCTCAGTGCAGGAATATTGTGAAGGTGAAAAGATGGGAGATAAAACACTTCTATATGAACCAGGATTCATTGGAAGTAAAGTAAGCCTTTGAATGGTATTAAAAATGTAGGAAATATTAAATGAATGGTCATTTTTAATCTGATAGAAACTTTTAAAATTATTTTTGCTGAGTTATTGCCAATAAGGCAGGAGTGAATAAATAGAATCCCATAGGGGATATATAACATCACCCCAACCCCTGGGATCCAATTTGTGCCAATCACTAGCACCCTGGGACTGCGCTGTAGAAATTCAGCAGCAGATTGAATAATTGGGGGCAGGATTTTTCTCATTTTATTTTTCTTCTAAAACAGACAGGAGAGTGGAAATCTCTGGGTCTCTGGAAGTAAACTCTCTTTTGGCAGATTGTTACTGATTGTTAGGAATGTTAGTGGGGGAAAAACAACTTCCAAAGATGAACATCAGTTTGAACCAATTGCCTGAAAATGATGGAAGAAGGTAGCTAGTCATCTGTTATAAATACAAGGCAGAAGATGGATTTAGTCACTCCTTTCAATTCTCTAATTCTAAAGTCTCCTCTAAATGAAATGGGACGTATCTAAATCTAATAAATAAATAAATATTAAATAAATGAATAAACAATTCTCTGATTTCCATCCTTCCAAATGTTCTAAACACTATCAAAATCTCTTTTAGCAATAGCACTTAGACTTATATATCGCCCTATAGTGCTTTATAGCTCTCTCTGGATGATTTTCAATGTCAGCATATTGTCCCCAACAATCTGGGTCCTCATTTTACCAACCTCGGAAGGATGGAAGGCTAAGTCAACCTTGTGCCGGTCAGGATCGAACTCCAGACTATGAGCAGAGTCAGCCTACAATATTGCATTCTAGCTACTGTGCCACCACGGCTCTTAACGTGAGGAATATTTTCTGGTTTTTGAAATAATCAAATTTTTTTTATTTACCTAGCATTTTCCCACAGGTACAGGATCAACAAATGCCATTTCACAGTTCAACACAACAACCATGTCCAATTGGACTATATTTGTTTATTTGTAAATTTGTTTGTTTGTTTCTGCATTTATTATTTTAACAAATAACTCAAGGAAATGAACATATGCAACACATCTTCCTCTTCCTATTTTCCCCACAACAGCAACCCTGTGAGGTGAGTTAGGCTGAGACAGAGTAGCAGGTTTTCATGGCTAAGGTGGGATTTGAACTCACAATCTCTTGCTTTCTTAACCACTAGACCAAACTGACTCTCATCATTTTGCCACCTAAACTTTTAGCATAGCTTTAAGCAATTTGTTGGATGAGGGGTCATTGGAATGTTCTAATAGGAAAAGGTGTACTTGGACTGTCAGAGAACTTCTGTTATTCTCCTTAAATGCCTACATAAAACAAAAGTGGACTGAATGATCAGGAACGTTATCACTCTTTCAGTGATATTACCAGTGGGCTGAGAGAGCAAATTTCTCCTCCTGGCTCAAGGAAAGTTGACCATCCTGATAGAGATTGTCTCAAGAAGTCCATTATTATTTCATTATAGTTCTGTACATTTTTCAATGCCAATTTGAGCCTTGGCTCTTTGCTTCTATTTCTTATATTTGAACTATGACTAGAAGAGGAGAAAGATTGTGAACTTGTGTCTGGCCAAATTCTTCTTCTGCTGCTGTACTTCAGTTCTCCACATTCCTCATGATTGATTACATTTATATGCTGTCCATCTCCAGTGACTTTGGGCAGCTTACAGAACATAAATCATTATCACCTATTTAAGCTGAAATTGGTGGGAATTGTTCTTTAATTTATATAGAGACCAGATAATTCTGTTATTTCAATATTACCTAAGTAAGTGTGTTTGTTATTGCTGAATCTGCCAGGAATTCCTGAAAGTTTACAGTCCCAAGATGATAATTAAAACATCCATAGTAGGGTTGGTTATCTGCCTCTGTCTATCAGTCAACCCAAATTTGTAGCCTGCCCAAGCCCTGTCAGACTCTGGCTGTGAACAGTAGAAAAAAATAATAAGTTCAACATAAACAATTAAAACTAAAGCAGTCAGTTTCCTGTGATAGACCCCATAATTAGTTTGAGCAAAAGACTGTTTTAACTTGCTTCTAGATACAAGTAGGGCTGAGGAGTAAATGTCACCTTGTGAGGCTACTACAATACCAATTAAAACATATAGAATAGTAATATAGTGATTTACTAGATCAATATAAAATTATATCGTAAAAGCAGTCTAACCGATATCCAGAATTCTACACATTTGCCTGTAATTTTGTCAATGTTTAGTTAGGAATAAATCCCACATGACACATATGCATTTAATATCTGACTACTGTTTTCAATTGAAAGGGATGCTATCCAGTTCCTTTCCACTACACATTGATTGTTGGATAATCATGTCAGCACATAAAACCCTCTAGAGCTGTGTCTTTTAAATATCTTTAATCACTGCCATATGCCACTGCTCTGACTATCAATTTTTAAATAACTATCTGTCTGTCTATCTATCTATCTATCTATCTATCTATCTATCTATCTATCCATCCATCCATCTATCTATCTCAAGCACACCTATTTGTCCTGCCTCCTATTTGTCCCTCAAAATCAATCTTGTGAAATGGCTGAGACAGAGTGAGTGACCCAAAGTCACCAAACTGGTTTTCCCACCTAAGGAAGATCTAGAACTCACCATCACCTGGTTTCTAGGCCAGCACCTTCACCACTATACCAGACTGACTCTCTTCCCAGAAAGCTCACAAATTTAAGGTAGCTTTAAGCCAGTATACACAAAGAAGAGGCATTATGAGGAACTAGAAGCATAAGAAGATAAAAACTAGTTTTATGAATTTTTATGAGGGCAGGTTTGCATTATGTATCTCCTGCTGCAATGTATTTTTTCCAATTACATATGGTATGGAATTAAATCTTGTCACAAGATCATGATATAACGTTCTGAATATCCAAATGCCTAAGAAAAGTTATATTGAACCACAACAAAGATGCATCTAGTTTAGTATCCCACATTAGCCAATCATCTCTTTATGGGAAACCCACAAGCAGGAATTCAATAGCATCATGTTACTTACAGTAGCTACTTAAATTGGGACATGTGCTGCACTCAGAATGGATAATTACTGAAAACCAATAGCATGCCCCATGTTGAATGTTTCAGGCATGTAGATATAAAACTATGGTAGATATAAAACTTTAAAGTAATTTATACTAAGTTAAGGTCACCAAGCAATGAATGGTCTAGAATTTAAACATAATTTAAGAGTTGGCAATAATTTGATGGCACACAATTGATTTTTTTCCCCCCTAGTTTTCCTACTTGGAGAAGCTGTTACTTGTCCATGGAGCCTGGAGTTACAATCGAGTGACAAAATGCATACTGTATTGTTTTTATAAGAATGTGGTTCTTTATATAATTGAGGTAGGTAACATTAGCCTTTTTTTGTTTTTCTTCCTTCACTGATTATAGCGACAGGAAATGTATATACTATTGAAATTCTCCTGTCTGTTTTTCTGTTTGCAAAATGCTGCATTATAGGGCAACAGTTTTTGAATGAAGGTACCTCAAATGGGGTAAATTAAAGAATGCATCCAAAATCCAGGACCTATGATTTCTGTGGAATCCTCTAGAATCTTCATACAGTTTATTTACAAAGTTGTGGCCGCTGCAGTCATGTGATCATGATTACCAACTTCACTTCCTAGAAACCCAAAGGTTGTGAGGTGCAAGGGTAGTTGGGAGAGAAATATCCCTAGCCTCTTTCCTGCCTCTCTTTAGCCCCTACACATAATTGGCTGGTGGCAAGGCTCAATGAGCTATCAGCAATTGGCTGTTTTAGAACCAAGGCCAAAAATTGAAATGTCTTGATGGCAATGGGTAGCAAGGGAAGAGCAAGGGAGTAACTCAGGTGCCTGCTGGAGAGATGGGTGGCTGGGAGGTGCCAGTAGCTGGCAATCTTCCCTCCCTGCAGGGAGGAGGCCCTTGGGGACAAGCAGGATTAGGGAGGAGAAGGAAAGGGAGGCTTCACCGAAGCTCTGCTGAGGAGCATGAGTGGAGTGGAGTACTATATTATATATTATAATATATATCCTACCTGTATTATATACAGAAAAATAAATGGCCCAAGGGGTCATGATGTGTACCATATTAAATACTGGGCAACAGCCTGCTTCAGGTATTCAACACTCCATGCTGGGTTGCTTACATGAGTGGAATTCCACATAGTAGCATGTGAGCAGTTCTTCAGAAGATACGTTGATCAGGTTGTAAGGTATGTTGTAAGGTATGTTGATCAGGAATTATGTTAAGCAAGGTTAAATTCTATCTCAGCCACAAACAGATTAACTCTATCCATTCATGATGAATTGCAGAGTACTTCTGAATTTGTTCAACCTGATTTTGGCAATATGGAGATATTGGCACCATGCATGCTTCTCTTGACCCTTTGTAAGTTCAGGAGGTTCAGGTTATCTGAAGCAGAATATGGCTCTTTTCTTCCCCATAATAATTTTGGCACAGCTTTGAAGCGAGGATACTTCTCTGGATATAACACAATCAGTTATTTTGCTGTGATATATAACCAAAGGGCACCCTGGCTTAATTAAGGAAATATCATAAGAGGCTTTTGTCCCTTTTGGGGACAAAACAAATCCCTGTTGTTAAATATAGATAGCCCTAGTATAGTACAGTATAGTACAGTACAGAACAGAACAGAAAGAACAGAACAGAACAGAATAGTTCTTTATTAGCCAAGTAATTACAATTGGATTGGCAATTTGGTTGTTAAGCAAAGTAATCACTAAGTAAAACTGTGACTATGCTTATGATCTACTTTGGGGGATGAAGAAGGTAGATGAGACCTTAATGAAATTTGCGGATTGATTTTTCCTAATTTCAGCTAAATCATGGCCACTTCATAGTTATTTAAAAACAGTGAAGGGAGTAGCCTTCTAATGGCACCATCAGTTATACATTTCGGTCCTCTTTACCTCCACTGTTTGGAAGTGTTTTGGAATAATCTTTGCCTTAAAGCTTTTATATTTAATCAATTTTATAAAATATGAAAGCTGGATATACTGTTGTACAATTGAGGTAAGATATGGTATCGGGAGATGATCTGATCATAGCTTCTATATGCATATAGAAAATAACTCTAATTTCCAGATTTATGCTTCAGGTTTCTTTTTGACTAAATACGTTTTGAATAATGTGTAGTTTTGCATGTCATGATTCAAAATGCAGTTTCTAAGTCAGAACGACTTTTCTTTCTCTCCCACTAGCTCTTGCAATTAAAAATCCAAGCTCAATAGGTATGATAAGTATGCCAAAATATTTTCCTTTATTGCTAGCTGTTCTCCCAAGGTAGAAATCACCAAGCAAAGCAAATTATGGTGCTATAAACAAATCCACCACTGCATGTCATTCGAAGTCCATTTTCCACTCTTGAAACAAAGGATTGATTTCTTATATTTCATCTCAATGTTTTTTTTCCAAAGAGAAAATCTTAACAGTTATCTCAGTTTTCAAATTTATCGAAACTGTAGCTTTATATTACTTTCACTTCAATATTGTGTGTTTCTGTCCCCCATAAAATTAAAATGCCGCTTCCATTTACTTTTGGAGGTTTTCTAGCTTCTTGGGAGCCTTTCCCAAGAAATTCAGTTCTAAAATAGTAAAGGATCAATATTCTCACCCAGTTCCAAACATGCTGTTTATGATATCTTAAGTACTGCCTTTTTTTTCTCCTTTGGTTGTCAGCAACTAATGACCAGCTACAGGAATGTAGCTGGTCTTTCCCCTGCCGGTTTAGAGGGCTTTCCTTGGATTGAATGGAAAGACCGCTGTCTCCATGATCGACAAGGCACCTCTCCTGTTCATCACTCCTTTGGGGCAATTTTAGGCCCTTTTCAGGGCCCCCAGCAGGGCGAAATCGAGCATGGAAGGCAGAGCCCTGCCTTCCTGTGTTCCGTTCCGCCATAATACAAACCGGAAGTCTCTACCACTGAGTTTTAGATTACACCATGAAAATAACTCACTTAGCTAGCCATGTTTTTCTACTTAACTGTGTGGGAAGCTCCTTCTTGCTTCTTCTTGACCAAGATAAATTGGAATGAGTGCTGTGGTAACTGAACCACAAAAGAATACCATTCTTAAGGTGATTCATGTCTTTTTGATTCTTCTTATAAAAGGGGACATTGTTCTAACTGATGAAGTTTGAGGATAGCCAGAAATTATAGAAGGTTGATTTTAAAAAAGAACAAACTAGGGTTAGATAAACAATGAGAAATGTCTGACAGAAAGGGGAGAAATCTATGCCCTCTGAAATCAATGGGGTCCTATTTCAACTTATTTCTCAAGCCATTAAAACATGTAAATGTTTACTCAAGAGTGGCAGCTCCTAAAATCATTTAAAACAACTGAATTTTTGTGCACATCAGCACATGTTTTTGAATATGCAGTGAATTTTATACTATAATTGCATTTTTTATAGTTCTTTATTAAGGATCAGGGACATTTGGGGTTCTTCCTTGATTATGATCACATGTAAGTTGATCTATCTAAATATCTAAAACAGAAAGGTAAGAAGTCAAGAATCAAAATAAGCTTTGGTTTTAATGTAGTTTTATCTCGACATATGCTTGATTCAACTATAGTCTGTGATAGATGGGATATAGCCTACTTTACCAGTTAAGTTAGCTTTTTACACTTCTGTCTCCAACTAGTCTAAGGAAGAGTTCCAAGCAGCCTTGGCAAAACTGTCAAAAGCTTTTAAGAATTTGATCTAGCCCTACAAAATAAATGTTAACACTTGCTACCCAGCATTGGATTATGATTTGGTTGTGGGATGCAATGACTAAATCAAACAAGGTGAGTAGTAAGGGCCGAGATCAGACCAGTCCATTATAATAACAAGCAGGGGTGCTGCAGAATATAATAATAAAAGTCAAGATAGTGACTGCATCAATACCTACTAAATCACCAGGCAAGACTGGTGGGATGGGTAACATAGCTTTGACAGGAGCAAAAAGAGGTAGGGGATCGGTCCCATCTCATCACTAGGACAGAGACCTTGGAAACAAGCTCTGTTGCCATGGAGAAACATTGGAAGCAGCACTAAGAATCAGAGGAGAGGGGTATGAAAAGGAGTCCTCCAGTGTCTGTTAGAGGCCCCTGCTGGACTTCTACTTTTCTATACTTAGAAAAGTATACTTAGTGAGACCTGGCTGGGCCAAGAGGGAGGTGTTCCTCTCTCAGAGATGTGCCCAGACGGGTTTCAGATAATGCACCAACCGCGACTCCAGGGAAGGGGTGGGGGAGTGACGATTCTTGTCCGAGAATCCTTGAGACCTCGCAGGATCCCTGCCCCAGAGGTTGTTGGGTGTGAGTCTCTTCTCTTGAGGTTGGATTCAAGGGTTCAGTTGGGCTTGTTGTTGACATATCTGCCTCCCAGCTATGTGACAACAGCCCTGCCCGAGCTGCTGGAGGGGGTAGCCGGGTTGGCGGTGGAATTCCCCAGGCTTATGGTGCTGGGGGATTTCAATCTGCTGTCACTCGGCAAATCCTCCAGTGTGGCTCAGGAGTTCATGGCTTCCATGACAACTATGGACCTGACCCAGATAATTCAGGGTCCAACCCATAGGGGAGGATACACGCTCGACTTGGTATTCCTCTCGGGGCAGTGGAGATGTGATTTCGATTTAAGGGGTATAGTTACTTTTCCCTTGTCATGGTCAGATCACTTCCTGTTGAAGTTAGATTTCTCGGTCCTACTCCCCCACTGCAGGGAGGCGGAACCGATTAGGTGGTTCTGCCCCAGGCGTTTAATGGACCCAGAGCGGTTCCAAATAGCACTTGGGGGTTTTCCTGATTCCCTCCTCCGTGAACCGGCTGAGTCCTTGGTCGCTGCTTGGAATAAGGCGGCATCAGGGACGTTAGATCGGATCGCACCTTTGCGACCTCTCCGTGATTGTGGATCCCGGAGGGCACCTTGGTTTACCGAGGAGCTACGGGAGATGAAGCATCAGAAGAGACATCTAGAGCGACGCTGGAGGGCTAGTAACTCCAAATCCGACCGGACACTTTTAAGAGCCTATATTAGGACTTATTTAGTGGCGATACGAGCGGCAAAATGTTCACATTTTTCCGCTCTTATTGCGTCTGCAGAATCTTGCCCCGCCGCCCTGTTTAGGGTAACCCGTTCCCTACTTAACGTTCGGGAAGCCGGGGTGCCCTTACAGGGTAGGGTGGAAGAATTTGTGCAGGTCCTATCAGACAAAATCGCTCGGATTCAGACGGACCTAGACTCCGATTGGGCAGGGCCTTCTGAGATGACTGGGGCAGGTCTTAGCCCAGTTTTATGGGATGAATTTGAGTCTGTGACCACTGAGGATGTTGACAGAGCGGTGGGAGCGATGAGCGCC